CCCCAAAACCCCAAAACCCCAAAACCCCAAAACCCCGCAAGTTTAATTCTATGAAATTTGGCTATTCGTTAAAACATAAATATAATACAGCATATTATGGATCCCAGAGTCAGAAAAGATGTTTACTTGTTTAAAGCTAACATCGAATCTTAAAGGAGACCAAGCAGTCGCACTTTTGGTTACTATACTGAAAGATAATAAGAATACTCATCTACTAATACTTTCAGGAAAAATATACAACAGTTCTCAAATTTTTCGATTGAGAGATACTCCTCGAATAGCAAAAAACCGCAGGCTAGTAAGGATAATACACAATTTTAATCAGAAGACAGAATCCACATTAGTACATTTTACTCAGACGCTTAAACATTTCAACCCTTAAGTGGTCAAAGCTCTTTCCGAGAAAACTCACTTGGCTAGTTAAACGTACAAAGAGACAAGCAAAACCACGAGGAAACCTTATAATTCAATCAATCTACTATCATTTAGGATGATCGATTCAATGTGAAGTATCAAGATATGAATTGCTTTATTCTGATACTGCTTTTCGTAAAAGGTGATTACTTTCCTGAAAAAGGCTAACTACTAATTAAATTTAACAGTTTGGTCAAAACTATTGTCGATAGCCAAATACTGAATAGAAGCTAGATTAAGGGATTTGAGATAAAGTTAAGATAAAAATATGGAAACGTCAAACACTCATTTAACAATGAGGAGATTGAATAGGTTCTTGTATTTATAGCTTAGCACTTTTTCCAAAAAGAAATTATCAGGAGTCCATCTGCAGTATTATAGTTAATGTTTAAAGATTACTTAATACCTTATATTAAGAATTTAGTCCAAGCTAACAATCAAAAGGCTTTAGAAAGGATTATTTTAGATAATAATTTCAGATTAAAGATAACATCAAATAATTCTATTCACTAGACTCTATAAAAATCAGCCAAAATTATACATAAATTATTAGGCTATTATGAGGATAAAAATTAGCACAAGAAAAATTTCAGAGCAAGCTTGTAAAACTACTTCAATTAGTGCATCATAATATTGATGAGAGATATAGAAATTGTCCCTTTTATAATACCTAATAAAGACGCTTTTGCCTTATTTTCTATAATCGCAAAGTAGAGTGAAAAAGGATAAGTAATATTTGGAACTGATTAGCTTTTGACATATTTTTAATTAATCAGCCATTATTACATCATAATTGACTCTACAGAAGGCTTAATAGATATCCTTGAGGAGTAAATAAAGATTCTTTTAAAAAGGATCGAAGCATCAAAAGGGTATGAGGATTATAGAAAAGAATAAATTATAGAATCTAAGGATAGACCTTCAATTCTTCTAATAAATACTATAACTTAAGCATCCTAATAATCATCATTGCAGCCTTCAAAGCACCACGCTAGTGATAGGAAGCCAAATAAGAATCTAAAGACTGATTCAAAAGTATAATCCTCTAGAAAAACATACAGTCTCTAATCTTCCGAAGAAATTCTAGAGATAATTTTCAACCATTTCGCCAATCCATCTAAAAATCTTGTAAAAATAAGTTTTGTTCATGAAATTTTAAATTTGCTGGAAGATTTAAATCAAAGTGATGAGACTGATATTACAAGTATTAAGGCAATATCTTAGATTTTCAAAAATGGAGATAACTATTACCTTAGTCGTCAATAGTTTGATCAAATATTCATAGAACTTTACGATAACTTTTTTTCTGTATTATATGATGGGGTTGATTTTTTTATTGTAAAATTTCTGCACCCATTGGCTCAATAGATCATAAATGGAACCATTTAGAAGCCGATGAATTAAACTATAGATAACGGATATAATAATTAGCAACCAAGTTTAAAGCATGATCTATCTATTGATATAGAAACAAGAAATATGATATAAAAACTGATTGATTTGATTTAGCCTTATTTTAAGATGTATTCAGAAAAACAACTTGGTTAAAACCTAACCTTAAATGGTTTCACAAATTTTTGTAAAGCATTTTCTCTATATCCTGATCTCGTCTAAAGATCCCACATCCATTAAATGTACCAAGATCTACAATATTAAAATTGCAGTACTTCATCATAGAGTAATGGACTATTTGGTATAATATAGCTTTGTGAAGCAATAGCAGTAATTGCATTCAACAACTATAATGATTAGCTAGATCTGAGATAGATAAGTCATTAGCAAGCTTTGCTGTATGTGATTGAGAGAATGCATAACTAACAAATGAGAATCGATAAATAAGCATCCTAGCAGATGAAAAATCAAATTTACTTTTCAAATGAGAGAAGAAAAGACTTCTTATAGGCTTTTAATAAAGAATTCAAGAGACATTTCCCTGCATAAAAAAATCTCCAGAATAAAGGTAGTGATTTAGAGCGCGAGCTTACTCTAAGAGATCTAATAAATATCTAGAACTTTTAATGATTATTTTGCTATTATCTATAATTGATGAATGGGGGTTTTGGGGTTTTGGGG